GAAAACATTGATGGAAGTTTGGGTTTGATTTTAGCTTCTCCTATCTGGTGAGTTTCTTTTATTACCAAAACCCATATTCCTAATTCTTTACATTAGCAATGTTTCGTTTCATATACAAAACCCTGATAGTTCAACAGAGAACCATAGACTTCAATATCAATTATTCTAATGTCCGGTATCTTCAGACTCTACAATCTGTAAACTCAATTGCAGCACCCACCGGAGACCGACAGTCTTTAACAGTCTCTTACCTTTCAAACGCATGTGGGTTGTCTTTAGAAAAAGCTATCAAAGCTTCTAAGCTAGTTGACATAAAAAGCACTGAGAAACCAAACTCAGTTCTTCAATTGTTAAGGTCTCATGGATTTGCTACATCGCACATCACTAGTTTAGTTTCTAAGAACCCGTCTATTCTGTTGGCTGACGCAAACAAAAATCTTAAACCTAAGATTGAGTATTTTGAATCGGTGGGAATTAGAGGACCTGACTTACCTAGGATTCTATGTTCAAATAAATCGTTTTTGATGTCTAGCTTAAAGAACCATATAATACCCACCTTTGATTTCCTTAAAGGCTTTGTCAAAACCAATGAGAATCTTATTAGTGTTTTGAAGCGATCCACCCGTGTCATTGGCGCCCATGTTCAGAAGCTAATGGTGTCGAATATGAACACTCTAAGGGCACATGGTGTGCCTGACCCTCATATTTTGAGACTGATTATGAGGCAGCCACAATCGCTTCTTTTGAGTCCTGATATGTTTGAAAAAGTGGTTAATGCCATAAAGGAAATGGGTTTTGAACCAACTAGAAGGTCCTTCATTATGGGTGTTAGGGCAATGTCGACTTGTGGCAAAGCGAAATGGGAAAGTAAAAAGGAGATTCTGATGAGCTATGGTTGGTCTGAAAGTGATTTCCTTTTGGCATTTAAAAGACAAACGATGATAATGGTTTGCTCAGTGATGAAGATTAGGATATTGATGGATTTCTTTGTGGAAAAGATGGGATTGAAGTCATCAGACATTGTTAGATGTCCTAATTTGTTGTTGCTTAGTCTGGAGAGGAGAATCATTCCAAGAGTGTCGGCTCTCAAAGTTGTGATGTCAAAAAACTTGCCAAAGAACGATATAGATGTAGTATGCTATTTAAATATGAGTAAAAAGGTCTTCGAGAAAAAATTTTTGACCTGTTATACGGATCCTGAAGTGATGGAGGCGTATAAGAGTTTGCTGCATTCTCGAGATCCAGTTATTGGGTTGTAGAACTAGACTCGATGAAGCAAGTGATGAATTTTCCAGAATATAAGCAACTGGTATGGGCTAACAATATTAAGGTTAAGCAATTGTTGGATTGGTAGTTGGTGTCTTTGTTATGTATTTTCATTTTAAGGTCCTCTCGTGTTATCTGGCCTTTCTACTGCAACTAACATGACCTCGGCATAGCTTATTGTAGTTTTTGTTTTGTGGGGATGAGTGTAAATTTTTTATTATTATTTACAAAAGCTTGGCTGAGTAATTTTGGATGAGTTGATAGATTGATTACTCAGCTTATGCTTTTCTTTCATTAATGTGTTTTTATATGCATAAACTGTTATTTTGTGATTGAATAATAGATTTATTCATCAATTTATTTGGTCTACAGTATTGATGAATTGCTTTGTATTGCAAAATGTTATTTCACATGGTTGTTTAACTGAACCAATGAAGCGTTTGCAGTCAATTGCTCTACATTTTGGATGAACTTTTCTATTCAAATATAGTTATCCTGTGCTCTTTTTTTTGAAAGAAAATTTGTTGTCTGCTAACCTTAATTCAGGACTACAGTTGGAAGGGACAATCATCTACTTTTTTTTCCTTTGTATTGATTGAATTGTGAGTCTGCTTATTAGTTGGTTGCCAAGGCAATCGATCTGCTTTTCGTATTTGTACCTTGATACATTAGTAGGTTTCAAGTTTCTATTTTGATGCCCATGTGGACAGCTAGTTCACCTATATATACATCTTTTTTATCTCCTTTCTTAATCTAAATTCTTTGTTTTCTGCAAAAAACAACAGAAAATTAGGACTGTGTTCTGTTTATTTCTATCTTACGTGTTTTTTTAAGAATGGCACTGTGATGTTAATCTTCGTTCTGTCTAATACTTCTTACTTCTTAGCCTGTCTATCAAATTCCTTGTCTCTTCCTCATTGCCCCAAACCCATCACATCCCATATCATGATGTTAAATTCTTATCCTCTCAATCTCCAAACAATATCTTCTTTATGGGTTGATAATGATAGGTACGAACTTTTGGCATTAGCTATTTAACAAACAAATCAATCAGCTATCTGCCTTCCAAGTTCTGACTTTATTCTGTTATATTCTTTACTCCAGAATCTTATAAAAGATGCTAATGCTATTATGTTCGTTACATTGGAGAAAAAAGAAAAGCACGGTCAAAAGAGGAAAAGGGCAAAGCAAGTGAATCAGTTCATGTCCCTTGTATCAAATTGATAATATAATGCTGTCATATTCTTAAATCCTAGTCTAAAATGTAAAATTTCAGCTTTATTAAAATCGCATACTCTATCCATTGTACCAATAATTCTGTTATTTTGACTGTTCTTGAGTGGAGGAATTTCTGGACATTTTCACATGAGGTCTCATTATAACTTTGAGAAAACTACAGCAAGTGGACCTAAAACTTTTGCAGGGTGGATAGGAGATGAGAAAACAGAATTTTTAATTGATGGGGAAATTGAATAATAACTTGTATTTTGGCAGCTTCTTTTCTTTGTACTCGCAGAAGATGCCGACGGTCCCATAATCCCTTCAAATCTGTCCTTTTATATCACAATTTGATGCCATTTTAACAGTCATTTCAATGCTACTTTTAATTTTAATTTTTCTGCTTTATCTTTTCTCTAGAAAACTAATTTTGTCTTTGCTTGTATTAGACGCCGAATTTCACCTGAAAATAAGAGCTTCCTTTTATGATTGTGTTTGTCTGGCTTTTGTCCGTGATTAATAAATGATTAGTTATATGATTACACTACTAATCATTTGTTAATTTATGTGATTATGACTTGAAGTCTTCAAAAACCCTTCACTCAGTTTCTTCGAAAACCTCAATCCCAGTGCTCCAACTTTTACCGAAACTAGAAGCAATTAACAATAGAGAAGGGGACGGTCCCACCTAATGATTTAAAAATCAAAAGCTGCTCCATCTTTACATATTAAAATGGTGGGATTGAGCGACCTGACTATGATTCCAAAATCCAAAAATCCAAATACATTAAAGAATCGAAATTGGCCCCCCAGCCAACACGCCCTCTTTGTCTCAGACTTTCAGCTTCACCATTCATTTCCAATCTGTAATGTTTTGAAAAGGCGCGTGATTTCAATAAACCCCACCTCAAAACCTAAACAAATCGCGGATTGATTAATATTTACAGTAATGTAATTCAATAAAAGAGTAAATGGGAAGTAAAGCATGTGAAATTTATGAAAAGAAATTAATATAATGGGTGGGCAGAGTTCACTCAAAGTAGAAGCACGTGACAATGGAGTTTCTCTTGTTTCATGGGATTCCAAAAATAGAGAGGTTTTTCTAACTCTGATAACGTGGCCTTGTATTCAAAGACCAGGCTGTCCCAACGGGTACTGGGTCCGGTCCGCTGATTAGGGTTTTAATTAATTAATTATACTTTTTATTAGTAATTAATCCCGTTTCCAAGGATAATTCATTCACTTCCCATTTTTTTTTCTTCCCAAAAAGCCCCTTATTCAGACTTAACCGTTATTCAATTAATAGATAAAATGACATAAATACCATTGAAATATGGGAATAATCATGTTTGTTGGTTTGGGATTAATAACTCGTTAGACATAATAATAATAATAATAATAATTTTACTTTATTAATGCCTTACAAAAAAAAAAACATTCTTTCTAATATTGTAATAAAAATTGGACCTATTGGGATGGCCACAGGATAACATTCCCCAAATTTATTCTTGTACTTGTTTGTACCATATGGTTTCTCATAAGTGGTTACTCTCGTTAATTCAACCTTTTAATTAATTCATTTAACCCAAAATTAATCAAGGGTAATTTAGTAATCACAAAACCAACAGGACCATGCCTATTTTGGTCACATCAAACCAGTGTTTATCAATCTCTTCAAACATAAACAGGGAAAAAAAACCCATGTGATGGCAATTCTACAATTAACAACAGGATCTGAGGACAAAAAAGTAAGTTCAAACAATTATATACAAAAACATAACAAAGCAATTACACACACAGAGACATCTTCCATTCTTTGACTTGTTCTCTGAATTCTGATTCACAAAATACAACCACCACCTGCTTTGCCTTGTCCTTCTCTCCACCCTCTTATTAATGTCACTCACATTTTAATTATTAGCTGTAAATGTCCTCAACAGTTTCTTTTCTTCATTACATTTACATTCCTCTTTTTAACTTCATAATGTGGGTCGCTCCCTTATTATCACACTCACAATCACATTAATTTCCATAGAATTACACTTAACTACACTTGTACTAGCTTTGTCTCCCATTTTTGCTTCCCGGCTTGTTTTTATTTTTCATTTTTATCGAGTGTGTCTCAGTGACAGTCATTGAATCATGAGCTTTGGTTGCTTGTTCTTCGTGTTATTATCTTACTGCAGGACTTTTTTGAAGCTGGTTAAATAAGGATTTTGTTTTTTTGTTTGTGTGTGCAATTAATAGTTCCATTTTCAGTAGTTTTTATTTGTTTTAGCATCCAAGGCAGGAATTTTGAGTCGTGAGTTCACTTGTTGGGTTTCTTCTTGTTGATAAAAATCTCATTTTTTATTTTCCAGGTAAACTCACTTGTTGAGCTCTCTTTTGCTTATTCTAGATAAATATCTTTGTTGGTTCTGTTTTTGTTTGTTGAGACCTTGTAGGTCCTGCTTTATTTCTAGGGTTGCAGGGCATTCTTGTGAAACTTAGAGTTTATAGCTTCCTGAAGTTTTGCAATGGGATACTTCTACATGTTTCTGCTACTGTTTGTTTCATGGGTTCTCTTCATACCGAGCACCCATCAGTTGCAAACCTCTCAGGCTCAAGTTTTACTTCAGTTAAGAAAGCATTTAGAGTACCCTTCACCACTAGAAATTTGGGAAAATTATAATGGAGACCTTTGTAGTGTGATTTCAACTGCACATATGAGCATTTCTTGTCAAGATAATTCTGTCACTGAGCTTAAAATCATGGGAGATAAGCTAGTAAAGGTTGCTGAGTTTAGAGGATATCCAATCCCCAACCAAACTTTGTCTCTAGGTTTCTCCATTGATTCTTTTATTACCACATTGACAAGGTTAACAAGTCTAAGGGTTCTCACCTTAGTGTCTTTGGGGATTTGGGGACCACTCCCTGATAAGATTCATCGGCTATCTTCACTTGAAGTTTTGGATTTGAGCTCAAATTTTATGTTTGGTTCTATCCCATCTGGGATTTCTAGATTGGTTAAGCTGCAAACTTTGACACTGGATGGGAACTATTTCAATGAAACTGTTCCTGATTGGTGGAATTCCTTATCAAACCTCACTGCTTTGTCCTTGAAGAGTAATCAATTGAAGGGTCAGTTTCCTTCTTCAATTTGTAGAATGACTACTGTGACTGATATTGCCATGTCTCACAATCAGCTTTCCGGTAAATTGCCTGATATGAGTGGCTTAACTAGCCTACATGTACTGGATTTAAGAGAAAATAGGTTGGATTCTAGACTACCTGTAATGCCAAAAGGGTTAGTTACAGCTCTCTTAAGCAAGAACTCATTCTCTGGTGAGATTCCCCAGCAGTTTGGGGAATTGGGCCAGCTTCAACACCTTGATTTATCTTTCAATAATCTGAGTGGAACACCCCCCTCTGCCCTGTTCTCCTTGACAAATCTCAGTTATTTGCATTTAGCATCTAATATGCTGAGTGGATCACTTCCAAATCATCTAAATTGTGGCAGCAAACTTGGTTTTGTTGATATTTCAAATAACAAGTTAGTAGGTGGACTTCCTCCTTGTTTGGACAGTGATTCAGACAAGACGGTTGTTAAATTTGGTGGAAACTGCTTATCAGTTGATGACCAACATCAGCATCAAGAGTCTTATTGTAAAGAAGCCTGTACAAGGAAACAATCCATGGGAAGAGAGATAGGATTCTTGATTGCTATCATTTGTGGAGTAGTACTTACTGTGGTGCTTGCAGTAGTTGGGGCTCTCATTTTCTGTAGAAGATACCGCAAAACAGTGAAATTCGAACAGTATACAAGGCCAAAGGCTGTGCAGGATAATTCACCAGCCGGGGTTTCCTCTGAGGTCCTTGCAAACGCCAGTAAGTTGTACATTGGTCTAATTATTTCGCTATTGTAGTTTTCAATCGACAATATTTTAAATATTTCTCAAAGCCAGTTTTCATATTTGAAAGGCTACTGATAGACTATGTCATGAGCTTGTAAATGATGGATTGTAGATCTTATGAAACCTTTAAGTGCTTATCTTTTGCTTTCTACTCTGTTTAGGGTTAATTTCTCAAGTGAAGCTTGGGACTCAAGGTTCCCCTGTATATAGATCATTTTCCTTGGAAGAGTTAAAGGAAGCCACAAGTAACTTCCATTCATCATCATTTTTGGGTGAAGGCTCTAGAGGAAAGGTACTTAAAAGAACTAAACTAAATTCCTTTTCCCTTTTGTAAAGAACTTATGTGGTTATACTTTTGTCAAATTTTTTTATTGTCAGATACCTCTTAAATTTTTTACTTCTTCTGATTTTCAGCTTTATAAAGGAAGATTGGAGAATGGAACCTATGTTGCCATTCGGTCTCTGGCTTTTTTGAAGAAATATTCAATTCAAAACCTTAAAATTAGGCTGGATTTTCTTTCAAAGCTTCACCATCCACATTTAGTAGGCCTGTTGGGTTACTGCATTGAGGGTGGTGGACAAGATAATTCCAATGCCAGCAAAGTTTTTCTTGTTTATGAATATGTACCTTATGGGAACTATCGTACCCATCTATCAGGTTAGTCAAAGGTTAGGATGAATATACAATTATATTTATACATATTTTTTTTTCTGATAGAAAAGAAAAAAATCTTTCTAAACAATTCACTCAACAATAATTTGGATAGTTTATGCCTCGTGTTTTTGGATGTCTCAGACAGTCATATTTTCTACATTATTTCTAAAATTTACATGTGTAAAGACCATAGAGAGGATTGCAACCACTGGGAACTAGAAATATAATGCTTAATTTAGCTGAATTAAGCAAGTAGCTCTTTGAACAGAGATCTGTCTGTCTCCAAGTTTTTGATACCATAGGATGCCCTTGTATCTCCAAAGAGAGAAGAAAGAAAAAGAGTAGCAAATGCTCATAATCATGTTCATGGGTCAGATGGTTTGACCTCACTTGCTAGTTTAGATTTTAACCTGTAGTTAGGGACTTATAAAGGCCAGCTTAAGTAAGACACATGGAAGGATATTTGCATAGTTATAATTAGTGTGTGACCTTTAATTCTGAAATTTTCCGTTTACTGTCATCCCTATGTGTCAAAGGCTCTAATATGGAAAAAATTATGCAGAAAATTGTCCAGAAAAGGTTCTTAATTGGTCGGATAGATTGTCAGTTCTGATTGGTGTTGCCAAGGCTGTGCATTTTCTACATACTGGTGTTATTCCTGGTTCTTTTAACAATCAATTAAGAACAAATAATATATTGCTTGATGAGCATCGGATAGCCAAGCTGAGTGACTATGGGATGACTATCATCATGGAAGAAAATGAAAGACTTGAGGTATATTTCCTGGCTATATATATGAACTTTTTGACCTGGCTATGATATCTTCGTTTTTAGTTGTTGCTGACACACGTTTCTGTCTTTGTTCTGTAGGCAAAGGGTGATGGCTCAAAATCATGGTACATATTCTTATTTATTCAACATTTCATGTTAGAAAGGTTCTTGCAAATAGGCAGTTTAGTTACCAAATTTTCAAAAATAATTAGGAAGCTTGCTTGTGAAGATTGTGGAGTCAATTTAATAGATTATGCAAGATAATAGGTTGAAACTATGATGCATGACAACAAAATTGGGTTGCTTCTTTGGGCAGCATATTTGATGAATATGGCATCCATAATGGCCTCCTCTTCTAAAATTAAGCATGTCGAGTAATATGTTAAATTTGGGTTAAACAAGCGAAACATTGCTGCATAAACATGTAATTTTCAAATTCTCTATGGCTACTAGATCCCAGCAACATTTATCCAGATATTGCTTAACTGTATTAAATCCTTTATTGCAGCCAAACGACCAAAGTAAAGGATGATGTTTACAACTTTGGATTTATATTGCTTGAATCACTTGTTGGCCCTATTGTAAGTGGAAAAGGAGAAGCATTTCTGCTGAAGGAAATGGTATGCTAAAAGCCTTTGTATAGACGAAATGTCATACCATGGGACATTAGTATCACATTATTCAATGGATTGCTTTGTTCTTTCTTATCCTCTATAGCTCTAAATCTATGCTTTATTCATCGTATGGTTATTCTTCAGTGTATACCTGCCTCCACCACCCCAAGTAAAGGAAATTGCCCTTTAATGTAACCTGATGAATTTAGTATCTTGCTTATATCATATATAAAGTATCATTATATCATTTATATATGTAACAAGAGATAACATGTTTACAAGATTTTTTCTCAATGTACAGGCATCCTTTGGCAGCCAGGATGGTCGAAAACGAATAGTGGATCCAGCTGTGTTAACCACATGCTCCCAAGAGTCATTATCTATTGTGGTATCAATCACAAACAAATGCATATCCCCTGAACCATCAGACCGTCCTTCTTTTGAAGATGTCCTTTGGAACTTACAATATGCAGCTCAAGTCCAGGCATCAGCTGATACCGAACAGAAATCAGATTCTACATCATAGTCTTGATAAGACTCCTAACAATTTTAGGCCTGTATTTTGTTTGCTTCTCCCCATCTTATGTACAGTTTGTAAATGTCAGCTTTGATTGTTTGACATTTTATACGCCTAAATATTTTTTCAGATAGATTTTGTATTGATGCTTCATCCTTTTCAAACAGCAACTGCAGTAGCCGCCACGAGGCATCCGAAAATGACAGGAGATCCTCAAATTTGCATAATTCAATATCAAGAAATACAAAATACATACAAGTAACCCTTCTAGTGAATATATAACATAATTAAGAATCTTTATGACGAAGAAAGGCATTGTTGTCAAGTTGATGAATCCACCAGAACAGAGGATATTACACTTTGAAGTCAAGCTGCCTGAACTAAGTTTCTTGTTCTGGTGTGTTGGTTATGAGAAAAAAAAATTGTTCACTCACCTGCTGCTCAGAATGATCAAGTAGCCTGCTATATTCTGAAACTTGAAACTTGGAAAGTAAGGCAAGGGAGTGGAGCTGTCAACTCCTACCTGAAAAATACATTAAAAAAACTACCAAATAACTGGAAATAAATCTTCAAAGATTATGTATATGTAGGACTTGCTGTCATCCCAGATCACCCCATACTTTTTATGAACCGATTAGACGGCTCACATGGGTTAGCTTTGATCATCATGACAAGGACGTTTTAACTCTTATCAACCAATTCTTTTGCTTTGAGATTAAGCACATTTTTCTTGTAATTAATGCATAATAATCAACTGTAAAACGTGATTACGATGGCTGATCTACCTGGGCGATTTTATATTAATGGATAACCATCTATCTGATTTACATTCGCTTAAAAGTAACACAGCAAGAAAAATTATTATTTTGGTGGGCCATTTGAGACCAATATACGGCCCATGAAAATTAAAGCCCAGGAGAGATATTCTCTTCTGATGGTAGTGTGACCTCCACTATCGGGAGCTTTGTACTTCGTATTGTATTTTTAACTGTGCATACTGAATAACAATAAGGTGTCGGCGCTCTCGACAACCACGTCAGAAAAAGACGCGCCAACCACACAAGCCACGCGCATTTAATGGATATTTAACTCACCAATCTTACAACTACAATCTTATATGTTAAATGTCTAATTATTCGGCACTTTTTAAAAATATATATCCCAAAACATGATAAATTCCATCAAGACAATATTTATGAACTGATATTATAGAAAAATCGAAATTCTGAATAAATAAATAACAAACACAGTAGGCAAAATGGAATAATTTTTCGATCGATGGGCTGGACCGACTGACCGTCTTCTGCTGTCTCAACCTTATTGGCCAGCGTACGACACACTCTTAACTAGCGCGTAGTTTATTGCAGATTTGGCAAAGCATCATTGTCAGAATACTCTACAAAAAAGCAAACGACGATGAAGAAAAACTCCAAAACGGCCCGTTTAATTAATTAGAATTTAGAAGTCCTCTGTTGATGTCAGCCGTAGCTTTTTTTGCAAGAAAATATTATACGAATTTTTTTTATATTTGATGAGACATTCTGGGTTCTGGTGTTTACTCAGTCACAGTCTCACTCTCTCGACCTCAAACAAAACTCAGATATTTCAACCCAAAACACCTTCCTTCTCTTACAATTTTCAGCTATAATTTGACAGGTTCATGCATTCTTTAACATTTCATCTATTCTTTCTTTTGTCGAAATGAAGAAATTCACGAGTTATTATTATTTTTTTGGTAGTTAAGTTTGTTAATTTTAATGCGCATTGTAATGAATCTGTTGTGTATTTTGCTATTTTAAGCTCGAAGAATGGACGGTTTTGATTACATCATGTTTACTATGTGTGGATCTGATGTGAATAATAAAGAAGAAGCAAATATTCTGGTAACGCTGAGGTAAAATGAGAAGTCGTTCCATTTTGCTCTTCTGAGGTTTACAAGGAATTAAAATACGCTTTAAATATTTATCATTGCTGATATTTTGTTTGATATCTTGTGCACTTTGAACTTTGCATTAACTGAGCTTAAAGTTACTTAATTTCTTTATATTTCTCAAGTTTTAGCTCTTTTGTTAACTTTTCTTTATTTCTTGGTAAGTTTATGCTTTACACTTATTAATCATGTGAGCGTTTGTTGCCTTTTCTTCTTTTAAGCGTGGCTTAGTTTGGATCATTTAATAACTGCAATGTTACCTTAATCTGTTTGTGGCAAACAAAGTTTGAGTTTACGTATTCTTCAAATCTTAAATTCTGCTGTTAAGTTGTTCTGCTGAATTTACATGGTTCTGCCTTTTTTGTTGTTGTTGTTGTTGTTGTTGTTGTTGGGGATATAGGAATTTAAGAGAGCTTGTGAAAGGACATTGAGACGGGGTTCACACTCTGTGGAATAGCTGTGTGTTCATGCAACAATGGTTCTTGGTCTAAGTGCAAAGAACAGGAAAGATGCCGTGGTTCATGTTGATTATTTAATCCATATTCAGGAGATTAAGCCATGGCCACCATCACAATCGCTAAGATCACTTCGGTCTGTCATGATTCAGTGGGAAAATGGTGATCGAAATTCTGGGTCTACTAAAACGGTTGTACCTTCACTGGGATCTGTTGTTGGAGAGGGGAGAATTGAATTCAATGAGTCTTTTAGGCTACCTGTGACACTGTTGAGGGAAATGAATGTCAAAAACAAGGATGCTGCTACGTTCCAGAAGAATTGTTTAGAGTTAAACTTGTATGAGCCTCGAAGGGAAAAAACTCAGTTGTTGGCGACTGCTATCGTAGATTTGTCAGATTATGGCATTCTTAAAGAGACATTAAGTGTGAATGTCCCAATGAACAGTAAGAGGAACTATAAAAACACAGCTCAACCAATTTTGTTTATTAAAATCCAGAGAGTTGATAAAGCTGTTGGTCGCACAGGCTCCTCCTTGAGGGATGGCTTGTCAAAAGAGGCTTCATTGGATAAGAATGATGGTGAATCTGTTTCACAATTGATGAATGATGAGTATGCTGAGGAATCTGAGGTTGCTTCTTTCACTGATGATGATGTTTCGTCGCACTCATCTTCTGCTGTTGAGTCAAATAGTGGTTTACCTCCTCAAAATGAAAAGGTCCTCATTGCTTGCTTTTGATTATCATCTTTAATAGAAATTATTCATTTTTTTTCTGTTTTAACTGGACTAATTTGGCCAGCATGAACTTTTTGTATTGCCATTAAATTGTCATATTTTTCTCCTGTCAGTTGGAGAAAATACGTTTGCTCTATCTTGATAACCAATGTCAAAAACTAATTGAACAATTATTTGATGAACCACATAGGAAATGCTAGATGGATAATGGCAGTAAGCCAGAAAATTCATGTCAGGCAGATTTTTTGCTATTGTTTTTGTTGCAATTTAACTTGCTCTTGGTGGGGGCCCCATTAGTATTGAAATTTCTTTATGTTGATTTGCCATGAGCATGGCCTTATGCTAAGTCTTATAAGAAACCAGGATTGTCATTTGACATTGGATATGTAAGTATTAATAACTTTAATGATTGACTCAAAATTGCAGAATGGATTAGTCAAATTGTCAGATAGCAGAGGAGTTAAAAAGGAGCATGACCTAGCTTCAAAGCTAAAGCAGGAAAAATCAAATATAAAGCCACAGATCCCATCACATGAAAATCAGAGGGCCAGTTCATCTCGCTCGTCATCAATAGATTTATCTTCTGAACTCGAGGGCCTAGTAAATGGTAATGCTTTGGTGTTAAACTCTCCTAACTCTAGTTCAGTGATCCCAAATAATGTAGTAGCCCACAATGTTACTTCTTTACCATCCTTGACTAATGGACATGCTAAGGAGAACACCAGCATGAGAAGTGATGACCATGAAGATTTGCCTCAGGAGGTTCGGAAAAAGTTTCCCAATGGGCAATCCGCTATCAATGGTCATGCTGAGCAAAGCAGTCTGGAAATTACATCTAATCATTTTCCGGTTGACAAGATTGACTCTAAAAACATTGAGGATTCTCAAGTGAATGCAGAGGATGATGGAAAAACTTGTAAAACTGAACAAGGTTCCATGGAGGGGGCTGCAAACTCAGATGATGACTGCAATAGTTTTATGGAGGACATGGAGAGTAAGGAACAAGACAACACTGGGCTTGAAAGAGAAAAATCCGAACAGAAAAGACATTCCTCAGGAGATGAAGCACCAAATTATTATTCACGAGATGCAACCAGTAACCAAATTTCATTGGGAAATGATTCACCTCCTTCAAGCAGGGAAAACTTTGGAATGAAGGGTAATATCTTAAAAAGTGACAGACTAAAGCATGTGAAGTCTGTTAGATCATCCCCAGACATAGCTAGAGGCAACGGGTTGGTTAGTAATAATCATAACAAAGAAGTGAAGGAAAATGGTTTTTTGGGAGATTCCCTGAATATTGCTGGAAGCTTCAGGAGTAGTGAAAGAAAAGATGCTAAGGTTTATCCTAAGGATACAAGAAGTGCTATTGTGGAGAGCAAAATCCAGCAGTTGGAGCACAAAATAAAATCACTTGAGGCAGAGCTGCAAGAAGCTGCTGCTGCAGAAGCTGCTCTTTACTCAGTAGTCGCTGAGCATGGAAGTTCCATGAGTAAGGTCCATGCTCCTGCTCGGCGACTTTCAAGGATCTATCTTCATGCTTGCAAAGAAAATTCCCAATCAAGGAGAGCTAGTGCAGCAAAAAGTGCCATTTCAGGATTAGTTTTGGTTGCAAAAGCTTGTGGAAATGATGTTCCTAGGTACTTAAAAATCATCTTATGCATTTTCATTTGGCCTTCATTACTCATTCATATTGTTATCTTAAAGTGATATTCTTTGAACTTGGTAGCATTTGACGTTGAATTTCCCTCAAATGTTTTTGGTTCTTCTCATCGTGTACTGAAAAACAAAAATGTGATCTTCTGGGTCTTTTGATTTAGTAATGAGGCATTGACTGTACAAACACTAAGGTAAGTCCTTTTATAGCAGCTTGATACACCTCATACCAAAAATTTTGAACATGCCACTCAATGCTGCTTCCCCGGGAACCTCTGAGAATTGATCCACATGTTCTTCTTAAGCAGTCTTTTCGATGGAATATCTGTTTGAATTGAGCAATTCTGTGGGTTAGAATTTTGACTATAGGACCAACCATGCATCTTGCTGCACCCTTCTGCAATTCAGAGCAGGATATACATGTCCATTTATTGTTTAAAATAATTTCTAAAATTTGTTGTGAGCTCATTTGTTGTACCTGGTACTCTTATTTCAGGTTGACATTTTGGTTGTCGAATTCTGTTGTGCTGAGAGCAATTATAAGCCAAGCCACTGGGGACCTACAGCAACCATTTTCTGCACGTCAATCCATGGAAAGGAATGGTGGTCAAATGGGAAACAACAAGACATCATCTCCACTCAAATGGAAGGAACCTTCTCCTGGCACTAAGGGGAACACAAATGTTGTATGTGGAAGTTTTGGTGACTGGGAGAACCCACAGACATTTTTGTCTGCACTGCAAAAGGTTGAAGCTTGGATCTTCTCCCGAATCGTAGAATCTATATGGTGGCAGGTTATAACTGAACTCTTTTGCTCATTTGTTGCGTTTTTCAGTGCATGATAGCAAACACCAACTTAAAAAAATAGATTTCATGAACTTATTTTGTTTCCTGCTTTGTCCAGACTCTGGCTCCACACATGCAGTCTGCTGCTGCAAAGGCAGTTGATAGAGTTTCTGGCTCTGACTCAAGGAAAAACCTTGGAAGGACATGTAGTTCAGGTGATCAAGACCAAGTAAACTTTTCACTGGACCATTGGAAGAAGGCTTTCAAGGATGCCTGTGAAAGACTTTGTCCTGTTCGAGCTGGAGGACACGAATGTGGCTGCCTTCATTTGTTGGCGAAATTGGTAAATTGATAGCCATTTTATTTCCCCTCTTCTGATAAGAATATGAAGCATGTTTTACTGTTACCTTTATTCCATTTTTTTGTGGCAGCTGGGTGTTAGATGAATAGTATTTTAATCATATGACCTCTGAATTATTATTATTATTATTATTTTTTTTTTTTTTTTGTGATAATGTTGTTTAGTGTGTGGGCATGCATGCCAAAATTGTAGGATTAGGTAATCTTTGACTTCAAGAGCTTAAATGTGAAACTTGAGGTCATTCTTATAAAATCTCTTTTACATTGGAGTAACTTTTTTCATAATTTATAATTTCTTTTCTGGATTTTCTCATTGTTACTCGATGTTTCATACAATAAAGTCTTATGCAGTAGTAGAATTTGTTAAAAATAAATATGGTAAAAAAAAAAAAAAAATCTATTTGAAGAATAATGTAACTATTGTTTGCTTATTATGTCGTTGGCCTTGGCTATAATTTGTATCTGAAGTTGATTGATCTGACAAACATATCAATCGAGCCTGCTTGGGATCTCAATGGCCTTGATTACTACTATAAATCTATAATATAACACTTTTTCAATCTTTTCCTTATAGAGAGAAGAATCTTGTGCGTGTCACATTTGATTAAAATTCGTAAATTCTCAAAATTGCTTAGGTGTTTGCTGCAACTTTATGGAACACGTTTGTTTGAATTGGTTGGCTGTTTTTGACAATGTTTCCACTTTCCACTGCTAAGTTTATCTGGTTATGTTTTCAATTGAGATTCAACTTTTAATATTTTGGTAGTACAATATCTATTATGAATCTAGATAATGGAGCTATGTAAAGAATGATGTAACTTTTATTTGCTCATCTTGCATCTGGCCTTGACTATTTTGCATCTGAGGTTGATTGATCGGACAATCAAAGCAAATGACCTTACTTGAGATCTGTAAGGCCTACGTTCCTGCTATAAGTGTAGCCATTTTTAATCTCCTCTGTTGAGAAAAATATATATTTTCTGTGTTACTCTTAAATGAAATTCCCAATGCCTCAAATTAATGGAAGTTTTGGTTTAAATTTATTTGGTCCTTTCAACAATATTTCAAGTGTTTGATAACTGCTGAGTTAATCTGATTGTTTTTTTAGCCGATGACTTTTAGTTTCAACAACTTGACATTGCAATGCTCTCTTTTGTGTATCTAGATAATGGAACAATGTGTGGCTAGATTAGATGTGGCTATGTTCAATGCCATTCTTCGTGAATCTGATGACGAAATCCCAACTGATCCTGTATCTGACCCCATTAGTGATTCCAAGGTGCTCCCGATTCCCGCTGGTAAATCAAGTTTTGGGGCTGGTGCACTACTAAAAAATGCAGTAAGTGATACAAAATTCAATTCTCAGGCCAAGTTTAATGTCAGATCATGAGTGATCATCATAGTCCATCATAATTTTCTCAGTTGCTCGACAAATTATTTCCATTTTGCCTCCTCTTGATGACATTTCTCTGCACCACCATTGGCTATTTGTGCCTATATTATCCAATAAATGGTGACAAAACTGTGGGTACTTTTGTTTTTTAATCCAAAATAATTTAAAAAAAAACAAAGATACAATTAAAATTCAAAGTTGTACCTTAATACATTAATATTTAAGAATGTGTTTTTATATAATATTCAAAATCTATTTTCATATTTAAAAGTTTTTACTCTAATTTTTTGTATCCCTTTCTTTTTAAAAATTTTTCATTTCATTTCTAACCTAGTTAAAGAAAATTTTGAGCATTAAAATTAATGTCTGCCTTTCCGTATTAGATTGGCAATTGGTCCAGATGGTTGAGTGATCTATTTGGTATGGATGACGATGAGTTACTGGACGATGTGAATGAAGAGGATGACGACGATGAGAGACACGATTCATCCTTCAAGTCTTTCCACCTCCTTAATGCGTTAAGTGATCTTATGATGCTTCCAAAGGACATGCTGTTGAGTAGAAGCGTCAGGAAAGAGGTTGATACAACCCTACACCCTTTGTATTCTCCATTGGGCGTAATGAGATCTTTGGCATCCTTATTCATGGTTTTAGTTTTTTTCTGTTTTCTTTTTGAAGGTATGCCCCACTTTTGGTGTGCCGTTGATCAAGAGAGTGGTTGACAATTTTGTTCCAGATGAGTTCTGTCCTGACCCCATTCCAAAGGTTGTTCTTGAAGCCCTGGACAATCAGGTTAGCCCTTTTATACAAATCTATTATATTTTTCTCGTATGCTGTCATCTCAGTATAATATATGAAGTAGATCAAACCATGAAATTGAGTAAAGTAAAAATTCTTGATGTTTTACGTAGGCAAACAATTTTAAGAGACTGGACAAATTTTTTAATTTTTGGTTATAATATATTTCAGATTTACCATTGTCTCCAAGAATATTTTTCAATAAACCTATAGCCTTTGTGAAGATTGGAACTTAATCTTCTTGCTTTTACTTGATTCAGGATTCCCTTGAAGCCGGGGAGGAATCTGTCACAAATTTCCCGTGTATAGCAGCTCCTCCACTCTATGTGCCGCCTTCAGTGGATTCTGTTTCAAGTGTTATTGGAGAGTTGGGAAACCAATCTCAGCTGAGAAGAAGTGGATCTTCAGTACTCAGAAAATCATATACCAGCGATGATGAACTCGATGAACTGAAATCTCCTTTGTCTTCAATCTTCATTGATGGTTTCCGATCTTCACCTGTTCCATCAAGGCCCAGCTGGATATCCAAGGGCAATAACAATGAAAATGCTGTCAGGTTTGAACTGCTTCGAGACATCTGGATGAGCTGCGAGTAAATATATATAGTAGTATATATAAAACAATGTTGTAAATCTGTAGTCAAATTTTGGTTCCTACGTCTTTCTAGTGTTTCTGTACAAAGAAAGAGGTTTGCAATTCTAGTAGCGGTCAATTGTCAGAATAAATCCTCAAGTCTGTATCCTTGAATGAATTACTATGAATATTTTCAAGAGAAATTTGCCACTGATGTAGAACATGGTGTGCCGTAAATGGGTATTTACCTTTGCTTTCAAAGCACAATTCAATGGTGTCCAATGATGAATAGTTTTTATTTTCTTTTGAAATTTTTAATATCATTTGTAAAGATCAATGCCATGAACCACCACTGGCAGTTACTAGAGTAGGCGTGAGTCATGCTTAAGGCCCATGCAATTGGAAACGAGGTTTGCTGCTTTGAGTCAAACTTTTCGTCTTTTCTATATCCCATTGGTAGTAGACTAGTTATATTAAATATTAATATATGATATGGTGAAGACGAAATATTACGAGTTACGAGAGAGTGGCATAGACCAAGAAAATGAAAAGAAGATGGGTAAAATTGCATACTTAATGTAATGGTGAAACAGAGTATTTCGGTTTTCATCTCTCAATCAAAATTATATTACACACATCCTTGGATTGCACAGAAATAGGTAACACAAGAAGGCAAAATTCAGGTCCAAACGGACAAATTCAAACAAAATTTCAACTTCCTATATGACTCACGTAGTACATATTTACTATTAGGCCGGAATGAGAGAAAGAATCGTCTCTATATCAGATGAAACTCCAAATCATGCAGTCAGCTTAGCATTCATATGCTGGAGGTGTAGTGCAGCCAACAAGCCTTGCCAGGTTTCTCCAGGTGCACTTGACACTTGAAAGTCAACAAGTTTCTTCTGTTTCCTGTAGTAATCTTCCAATGACTTGCCCTGAAATAGTTACAAGTTATTCACAGTTAATGAAAATTTTTGTTTAAGACATCAGCTGCTGAGACACTTTACAGTTTCAGAAGAAAATATGATATATTACACTGATATATATATTCAGCATGATATTAGACAATCCTAATGTGAAAACACCTAAAATAGGATCAAATGCCCAGCCAATATATGCATTGTGAAATCACTACTTAGACGGACTAATAGTCCTCTGATCAACAATAAAAATTGGGATATTGCTCTTGCAAGCTATCATCCAAAGAAAGTATATAGTACCTGCTCTGCATAGACATGGAATTTTTCCTTCCAGGCAGTGGCAGCATCGGCAGTGGAAAACCTGGAACTGCTCATGCTGAGAAATTCTTGACGAGGAGATAAAGCTTCACTGTCTGGATTTTTTTTAACCAAGTGCTCTTCAGTGCACTTAAAATTCACGACTAGATCAACATCCACAATTTGATCAAGAATCTCCTGCAGCAGATCCAGTTTTCAAGAGTATATAAAACAGTTAGAATTCACAAACTGCTGACTTTTTAAAAATGTTGAAACCAAAATATACATAATGTATAGCCACGCACACATACATGACAAAGAAAAAGCAAAAGCTATAATAATAAAAATTCAGACTTACAGCTTGGATCCTTGTGCGAGGAATTCCATCAAGAATGAACCCATTTTCCCCTCTATAATATCCTTCTTCCAGCCTCTTCGACAACAATGCAAATATTACATCTTCTGGAACAAGCTTTCCTTCATTTACAGAGTTTGCAATCTTGAGTGGGGAAAGAAAAGGTACCCAACATTAGTAACCTTATTTGGAAAACATGTTAAAACAAATAACTAATGAACATCATGTAGCAATGCATAGATATAATGTCATTAGGCTGACAGAAAATCCGCCATACTGGCTGTCTAAAAAGTAATGAAGCTGTAGTCAGTGGTATCAATCAAACCACAAAATCAAAACCATACGTAATGTAACTAGCATTCATTTCACCAAAATCTCCATTTTCTTCCACCCGCATTCTGGGACTGGGACCTTGTATATGCTCCGTCAGCGAGTCATTTCCTATAATTTTTTCTTATTATTATTATAAATTTCATTAACCTCCTCTTCCCTGAGGTTTGTCAAAAATCCAAGCATAACCCACTAATTTTTACATTCGTTAGAAACTCTCTTTAGATTTTAAGAATTACCATAGATATCACTAAAACACTCAACACCACCCTAAAATTTCTAAGATTTATCACAGAAGCACTGACTATTTTTAAAACTGGTTAAGCCCATTAGCAATTAAATCAAATGATTATTAGAACCAATAGATATGTAACACAGGAAAAAGAAACTGATTAAATTTACAAGGAAAAAAAAAAAAAAAATAAAAAGATAGAAAAAAAATAAATTCAACACCTGTTTGTAGAGGGAAGAGCGAGGGCTAAGCTCTTGTCTAACAAGACTTCCCATAGAAATGTGAGGAACTTCTAGAAGCTTCGACAAACTCTCAGCGTACACGTGTTTCTTCACACCGGGATCTCCAATAAGCACCCAGTGGACTCCCCTCCTCGGTGGAGACCCGGCCGTGCCAACTCTAGGCTCTGTCCAGCTATTTTCCCCATCCAAATCATACTCCTCGTCGTCGTAGTAGTCGTACTGCAACTGGGCCGCAGCCGCCGATCCGTAGGCTCGGGTCCTACACAGTTGGCGGAGCAGCGACGCGGCGGCTCTCAGTCTGGTAAGTCCGGCCATGGCGGCGCAAATAGAATGAAAGATATTTTGTTAGTTTTTCAGAAACAAGGAAAGAAATTTAAGGCGCTACAAATAGGGGTTACAAAAGTGAAGGGTTTAGGAAACAATCCAAATGAGACTGGCAGCAGTCTGAATTTACGTAGGTGCCATTGTCTTTTTAGCCAGGTGTTGGGTGATTACTGGGCTAGAATCAGTTAGGCGCGTGTTTCATGAAGTCCACAAGACGTGGAGAGTTGATGGTTAAAATGTTGACGCGTGGAGTGCTAGTACGTGTGCGGATGATTTCGCCACGTATGCAATTAAAGATCCAATACCAGCAAAAGTGGGCTTACAGCTGCATTAGGCCCATTGTAAAGTCTTCTTCTGGCTTCGGATTTTAGGTTTAGCCAGAGTCCACAGAAGTTCAATTAATTTTTTAGCTACAATAATTTTATTGTAAACAATTAATTTAAACTTTTAATTTAAAATATACGAGGATTTATTTTAAATTTTTGCCTTAGGCCCCAGATATGCTTGCTGATTGCCTTCCTACTTCCTAGTTAGGTGTCCTTTGAAAGCTATAAACATAGAAAGCTGCAGCATACCCAAGTATGGATATTCTTATATATATATGGCTGTGAGGAAAATTTTGAACAACATGGGTTCAATTTATTTGTGTAATTGTAACATTCTTCTCAATCAACCTGATCTTATATAGATCTTCTGTTCTGTTCATTTCTTTTTCCACAGAGATTCAGTTTAAACCATGACCTGATTTTGCTGGAAAACCAAACTCCTTGACTAGTGCTTGAGCGTTTATTTGGGTTGACTAAGGTTTATGAAGACGAGTCCCTAATTCAACTTACCCTCGACTACTTCCGTAATATTTTTTCATCTGATATGCCACTTATCAAAGTATTATTATTCCAAAATCCTGAATTCAATATCAAGCATATTCTTGATTTATTGAGGCATTCATTGCTTTTACCATTGCCTTCAAGGAATGAAGAAAGATCGGGATGCGAACCCTTCGCTAGTGCCACAAAAATCAACGAGGCCGGGAATCGGTGGAGAGCATCTTGGATATAGAATTTGATCAGGGTGTTCTTAAAATTCCACCATTGCTCATTCAAGAGACAACGAACATTCACCATAACCTCATTAGCTTAGAGCAGTGCTACCCAAATTACCCACCTGTTATGCCTACAAAATCAGGACTGACGTAAGCTTATATCAACGAGCACCAATCAGAGTTTAAGAAGACTTTGCATCATCCAGAGTCTGCCATATTACCAAAGAGAGAGAGAATATAACTGTCAACAACCCAACCGACTCAAGTTTGGCTTGCGAATGAATTTGGTTCACACCTTATTTAATTTAAGGATATTTCCTAAGTTATCAACCAATGGTACATAAGGAAAAATTTGCATGACATCTACTCACTTGCAGACTTGTAATCATTACCTTAATATAAATAGGGAGCTCCCCCTCACAAAATCGAGATCAGACACTCTGAATTCACAAAACAAATAGCAAAACACCATACAGAAAAGAGACTAGCTTAATATTTTCTTTGAATACCAAGCACTTGTAATTTAGTTTGCTATTCACGACCTCTTGTAACTTGGTTAATCACTAAAAACACTCATATAAAAGAAAATAGTAGATGTAAAAATCGCTTTAAGCATCTGAACCACTATAAAATTCTTACTGTCTCATTTATTATTAAGTCTTTTAATGCTACTGTGAAAACAGTGACATTTTAATCAACTCTTACAGTTAATCAAGTTTAATTTCTAAGACTCTCTTTAACACTTTGCACATACGAGATCGTTGGTGTTAAAATCAAGCATCAACACCACCGATAGTCTCTTCTTATATATGCCAAACTCATGGATAACCTCAAGAAAGACGTTGAGATACTTTGCGACAATAGTATTCTAGATAACTGGTTGAATCCAGAGGACGCAACGCGAACTTTCAACAAGCTCTATACCATTAAGGAAGTGAAAAGTCATCAACAACGATGGTGGCCTAGATAGCGGTATTTTTATATGCACAACTACTATGGCACCTCATGGGCTATTGTTTCTCATATTGTTGCTATTATCCTTTAAATTCTCACCTTCTTACAGACCTTTTATTCGATTTTTGGTGTTGTGGCAGACCAAAAATGTTAATTTGGTGCCTCCCAATTTGTTGACGCTTGATTTTGGACGCCAACGACTGGCACGTGAGAAGTGCTAAGCAGACTTAGGAATCATACGTGATGGATCCATGAGATTTGAATATGGAGCTGAGATTATATATTTTGCAGAAAAATAAGTAAAAGATTGGCAAGAGGGGTTTTTATAGTGGTTCGGATGCAACGAGCGACTCCTACATCCACTGTTATTTATTGATCTCTGACTATTTCTATGATTTTTGCCTGTAAGGCATACAAAGATGAAGAAATGCAGTGTTTTTATAGAGAGAAAGAATTGAAGCTAAATCTCAACCCAGCCTCCCTTCCTTCGGGAAAAGGAGTGCCCATTTATTCACATTTGCACTCAATGCCATGAGAGCTTTTGCAAACTGCCTTGACACATGGAAGGCTCTCGTCTATTCATCTCTTTGAAATGAGATAAAGTTGGTGAGAATACTTTCGAGATATGGGCTTGGCAGCTGGTACAGAGAGACATTAATTGTGCTGACATATGCTTGACTTTTGAGGTATAACAGAAGCCCCCTAGTTTTTGAAGTGCGTAATCGCGCTTCAGAAACTAAGTCTTTGATCTGAATTGCTGCAGTCTTGAACTGAAGAGCTCGAACTGAAATCTGTTAGGAGCGCCTAGAAATCTGTTAGGAAAATGACCAGAAATCTGTTAGGAGCAACCAGAAATCTGTTAGGAAAACGACCAGAAATCTGTTAGGAGCGACCAGAAATCTGTTAAGAAAACGACCAGAAATCTGTTAAGAAAACGACTAGAAATCTGTTAGGAGAGACCAGAAATCTGTTAGGAAAACGACCAGAAATCTGTTATAGGAGCGACCAGAAATCTGTTAGGAGCGACCAAAAATCTGTTAGGAAAACAACCAGAAATTTGTTAGGGGCGACCAGAAATCTGTTAAGAAAACGACCAGAAATCTGTTAGGAGCGACCAGAAATCTGTTAGGAAAACGACCATAAATCTGTTAGGAGCGACCAGAAATCTATTAAGAAAACGACCAGAAATCTGGCAGGAAAACGACCAGAAATCTGTTAGGAAAACGAGTAGAAATCTAGTAGGAGCTCGACCTGAAATCTGGTAGGAGAACGACCTGAAAGGTCATAACGAGCTTAATCTGAGCAAAACGAGCTCAACTTGAGAGCAAAACGACCTTGACCTGAGAGGTCAAAACGAGCTCAAAAAGCAAAATGACCTCAATTTTAGAGGTCAAAACGAGCTCAACTTGAGAGCAAAACGACCTCGACCTGAGAGGTCAAAACGAGCTCAAAAAACAAAACGACCTCAATTTTGGAGGTCAAAACGACCTCTCCTCGACCTGAAAGGTCAAAAACGACCTGAATGAGCAAAACGACCTCAACTTGAGAGGTCAAAACGAGCTCAATGAGCAAAACAACCTCAATTTGAGAGGTCAAAACGAGCTCAATGAGCAAAACAACCTCAATTTGAGAGGTCAAAACGAGCTTAATGAGCAAAACTACCTCAATTTTAGAGGTCAAAACGACCTGAATGAGCAAAACGACCTCAATTTGAGGTCAAAACGAGCTCAAAAAGCAAAACGACCTTAACTTGAGATGTCAAAATGAGCTCAATGAGCAAACGACCTCAATTTGAGAGGTCAAAATGAGCTCAAAAAGCAAAACGACCTCTCCTCGACTTGAGAGGTCAAAACGACCTCTCCTCGACCTGAGAGGTCAAAACGACCTGAATGAGCAAAACGACCTCAACTTGAGGTCAAAATGAGCTCAATGAGCAAAACGACCTCGACTTGAGAGATCATAATGAGCTCTACCTAAGAGCACAAAAGATCAGCGATCTGAACACGCGATTTGAAGCTAAAGATTCGCAATCTGAAGCTGAGAATCAGGATGGCATGGGCGTGCGATCTGCGATCTGGCCATGCGATCGGAGAACTCTGATGCGTGCGATCTGTGATCTGGCCACGCGATTGGAGAATTCTGATGCGCGATCGAAGAATTCTAACGCGTGCGATCTACGATCTGGCCACGCGATTGGAGAACTCTGATGCGGGTTTGAGATCTGAGCACGCCATCAAGGAACTTTGATGCAGGTTCGAGAATCGGACCTGCATGGGCCACCAAACTGTTGACGCTTGATTTTGGGCGCCAACGACTCGCACGTGAGAAGCGCTAAGCGGATTTAGGAATCACACGTGATGGATCCATGAGATTTGAATATGGAGCTGAGATTATATATTTTGCAGAAAAATAAGTAAAAGATTGGCAAGAGGGGTTTTTATGGTGGTTCGGATGCAACAAGCGACTCCTACATCCACTGTTATTTATTGATCTCTGACTATTTCTATGATTTTTGCCTGTAAGGCATACAAAGATGAAGAAATACAGCGTTTTTACAGAGAGAAATAATTGAAGCTAAATCTCAGCCCAGCCTCCCTTCTTTTGGGAAAAGGAGTGCCCATTTATTCACATTTGCACTCAATGTCATGAGAGCTTTTGCAAACTGCTTTGACACATGGAAGACTCTCGTCCATTCATCTCTTTGAAATGAGATAAAGTTGGTGAGAATACTTTGGAGATATGGGCTTGGCAGCTGGTACAGAGAGACATTAATTGTGCTGACATAGGCTTGACAGGCATAACACAATTATTATTTGATCTTCTGTGTCTTATTTTGTAAAACTAATTTGTTGAATCTTTCGTAAACCAAGTCTCTTTTTGATGCTGGAGTGTCATGTATCAAACAAATAAAGCATCTCGGTAAACTAATGAAGATGTTTTGTATATTATCTTTAGTCTTTTAAGAGCAATAATATTATACTTTCAAATAAATTTTATAAAGATTTTTATATAAAGTGAGGTGGCAAATAATGAATGAAACAAAAATTAAACTCATTAAATTTATTTTTTCATTTATTTTTTACCGCATCACTTTAAATGAAGATTTTTATAAAATTTATTTGTAAATGTAATATTACCTTTTAAGAAACTAAAGAGTGGTTTCCAAAATGGATTAAGTTAGAATTTAAAAGCACATTGATGTCATTGACCTCAGGGACCAGGATCCACATGTTGTGTGATAACTGGTTGATAGTTACACACGTGTTTAACGTCAGACAAGTCCATTGATGGTTTAATGGTTGACACGTGGACATAGAGTACATGGAGCATTGTTATGCTATTAATGAGTGCCAATTCAGCAGGCAATTTAAAAACCTGTGCTCGAATTTTGTCAGCCTCAACTTAAGATGGAAGTTGTTCTTGGAACGCTGACCAAGCAAAGTTCAAAGTATCTAAGTCTAATCTAGTGTTAGGTTTAATTAATTAAATTTATAGTATGTTTAAGTTGAAGCATGGAGTTGATCTATACAAAGTGATCTTCTTTATACATATTATATACCTTGAATATGGCTAAAACCACTTCTCACTAATTATAATATATATTAAGTAAGATGTTTGCCAAAGCAATCCGTACCTTTGGAATAAAGAAATGGACAATATTGGGACTCTCGTATGCATCTCAAATTGGAATTAATCTTTTGACAGAGGCAAAGAATGAATTCTGTCTCTAGGATCCACTTTATCTTAAATAAATAGCTTATCCGCTAGCCGAGCTTGTTGCCTCAAGGGAGATAAAGGTACAAACTCTAGTCTGAAATCTCATTTATTTAAATGTGTTGCCACAATAAAGGTTCATAAATTCTGTAGCTAGTGCACTGCAATTTCTGATTGTTTTCTGTAATAACTTTTGTTGCGGGTGATGCAGGCGGGAAGGATTGTCAATGATTGGAATTAGAAATCAAAAGAGTGATCGAGTCTGCAAGTAGTTGCATTTAGAGCTGGTATGTGGTTCCAACAGTTCATTCTTTTTTATCTAATTAATTTAAAATAAAACAAATTGTTTATTTAGCATATCTACTTTGAGAATACTTGAATTGTTTACTTATCTTTTATGGATTTGTAATTAGAATCTATTTGCTTTCATTTAGCATTAGGTTATAAATACAACTTATATGAATGAACATTGTTCTTAATTATTAGTTGAACAGCTGCTCCCTCTGTTCTTTCTTTTTCTTCATTTTCCATTTTCTCACTTGTCAATAGTCTATCTTATATGTATTTGCAGAGATAAAATTCAAAGAGACAAGCCACTGAGAATATTGTTATGGCGTCAGAGAGTCAAAAAGATGAAACTGTGATTAACATGGTCATGAGTCCATTGCCAAGTTCCTATGAGAACTTGATGGGATATGAGTTGTCTATGTCATCTAAATTTTCCATCTTTCAAACCCCGAAAATTCTTTCCAGGCACAACGAAGCAGCATATAAGCCAAATGCTTTCTCGATCGGGCCTTTCCACTACAGAGCTAACAAACAACTCGAAGCCACACAAAAAATAAAATTGAAGTATTTGCGAGACCTCCTCTCACGATCAAGCAATCCGGAGGAGCTATATAGTCAGCTTATAGCAACCATCAGGTCGGTTCAGCGAGAGGCGCGGGACTGCTATGCAGGGTCAATTGAAAGCTGTGTTGAGGAAGCATTTGTAGAGATTTTGGTACTTGACGGTTGCTTCATTAGTGAGTTGTTCCGCAAAGATGCCAAAAAAGAACTTAGAGATCCAAATGACCCCATATTCACCATGTCTTGTTTACAAAAATATTTAAACCATGACCTGATTTTGCTTGAAAACCAAATTCCTTGGATAGTGCTTGAGCGTTTGTTTAGCTTGACCAAACTTTCTCCCGGCAAATCCCTAATCGAACTTGCCCTTAAATTCTTCAGTAATATATTCTCATCCAAACAACCATCTGTTCAACCAAACGAATTCCAAGATATCGAGATCAAACATATCCTTGACTTGTTGAGGCATTCCTTGCTTTTACCATTATCACCAGATAGGTTCAAAGGAGAACCCACGGGATGGGAAGCCTTCCCTTGTGCTACAAAGATCAACGAGGCCGGTATCACGTTTGAGAAACGGATGGCAGGTAGTATTTTGGATATAAACTTTAAAAATGGTGTTCTCAAGATTCCACCTCTGCTAATTCAAGAGACAACTGAAACCATTCTCCGAAACCTCATCAGCTTTGAACAATGTTGTCCAAATTATCAACCCATAGTCACTTCTTATGCGAAACTCATGGATAATCTCATTGACACCGACAAAGACATTGAGATACTCAGCGATAAGAATATTATCGATAATTGGTTGAATCCAGAGGACGCAAAGCAATTCTTCAACAAGCTATACCATGATACATATGTGAAGCAGTTCTTTTATCATGACATTTGCGTGAAAGTGACGGGACACAGTAAACGCTTGTGGCCTAGATGGCGTTTTTCTTACGTGCACAACTATTTTGGCAAGCCATGGGCGATTGTTTCTCAAGTTGTTGGTACAATCCTTTTGGTTCTCACGTTGTTACAGACTTTGTATGCAGTTCTTAGTTATGTGGGAGATAAAAGTCGTTGATGTTTGTTTACTCCTATTAATTTGATCTTCAATGTAAGTTGTGTTGTTTGTTCAGAAGTTTATTCTCTGTCTTCTTTTGTAAAAATAATTAAATTGTGAATATTTTGTAAACCAAATCGACTTCCATTTTTTTTTTTTTTTTTATTGATGGAGTGCATTCTGATTGATATTCACTAGTAACAATTTCCCTTCTGAATATAAGTAAATTTATAGTTCTCAAACGCCGGCTTTAAGTAATTTTGAATTAGGGTGAGTCTTCTTTATTCTCTACGTAGTTTTTAATTATATTTAAGGTTAAAATTGTCAAATATCCAAATGTATATTCATTTATATATAAATGAATATACATTTGGTTAATTAATTTTTTTATCTTTTATTATCTCAATAGTGTATTCATGTGGTAATTAATATTAATGTTAAAAGATTATTTAATGACATGACATATTAGAAGAGAAAAATTAAGAGTGGATTAATTCTTGTCTTTTTTTTTTTTTTTTTTTAACTGGAGTTATCTGAACCAATTTATGCAAACCTTAACTAATCACTCAAGACCCTAAAACTACCAGTTTTATAAGAGTTTTAATAATTCTTATCTCCTTAATAATTTTGCTGAAGTTGCAGAATCACAAATTTTAAAACTCATATCAAGTCAATCCGTATATAAATTATAGGTATATGTCCAAAAACTTGTTTAATTTTTGGATGATTCCGTAAAACATAATTAATCTAATTTTTAGGACACTTATGGATCCATAAATAAACTAACCGAAGTGGTGCAATTGTTTGTAACACTCCAAAAGTTAAAGCCTATAAACCTTAATGCTACCCAATGGACAACAAAACTTTAATCTTTACATTATGCCCATATCTTTCTCTGCCTTTGCACTTGTTTTTTGTTTTATAAGTCAAGTATAAATTTTCGTTTGAATTTGCCTTTTTCCTTTTCTTTTTTAATATTTTAGACCTGCAGCAGTGACACCCTTTGCCATGTAACACAATTCCCATTACTTTATGGAGAAAACTATGTTGATACCCCGAAAGTTTGAACCATTTAGACTTGCAAGTTTAGAATGACGACACCCCTAAAGCTGACGTAAGTTGGATATTATAGATCTCAATTATTATTATTAATTAATTACTAAATAATACGTAAAAAAATTATTCTTCAATTAATTTAATAATGTCTATCTTCCCCATGTTTTACAAAGATAAACGAGGCCAGTATCAAATTTTGAGAAAGGAATGGCAGATAGCATCTTGGACATAAAACTGAACCCAAACCTCATAAACTTCGAACAATGTTATCCGAATTACCAACCCATAGTCACTTTGTACAGAATAAATTATTTTATTGTAAAGTTTGTTTCATTAGTTAGATGCTTAGCTGTAAAGCAGTTAGTTTGTTAGATTAGTTTGTTTGATTAGTCACGTTTTTAGTTAGCTACAGTTCCTTGTATATATACAGCAGTTGTTACTTTACTTAATAACAGAATATACATCTTTACCAAAACCTTTTACTCTGTAAAGCTTGCGTTACTCTGTTCATGGTATCAGAGCAAATAGATCCTTCACGAAATCATTGATTTTCTGGTTTTGTGANCTATGTTGATACCCCGAAAGTTTGAACCATTTAGACTTGCAAGTTTAGAATGACGACACCCCTAAAGCTGACGTAAGTTGGATATTATAGATCTCAATTATTATTATTAATTAATTACTAAATAATACGTAAAAAAAATTATCCTTCAATTAATTTAATAATGTTTATCTTCCCCATGTTTTACAAAGATAAACGAGGCCAGTATCAAATTTTGAGAAAGGAATGGCAGATAGCATCTTGGACATAAAACTTCAGAAGTGGTGCTCGCAACATTCCGCTTCTGCTCATTCAAGAGACAACCCAAACCTCATAAACTTCGAACAATGTTATCCGAATTACCAACACATAATCACTTCTGATGCGAGACTCATGTATAATCTCATTGACACCGACGAAGACGTAGCGAGAATGATATTATCGATAATTGGTTGAATCATGAGGACGCAAAGCAATTCTTCAACAAGCTATACTGTTGGATAATGCCTCTTATTTGTTAAGAGAGTAAGGCAGTTATTCAGCTGCATGGTTAATGTTTGTTACGTTAGTTATTTGTTAACTAACTTGGCTAATATCACTCAGCTGTGATAACCACCTACATCACATATACATTTCGTCATAGGCTCATTTATAACAGGGTGGTCTGTACTTTCCGTTTTGAGGGGCGTGAGAGTTAGTTTTCATATTGTAATTCTCAGATTAGTGGTTGTATCAGACTTCATCATAGTGGACTATCTAGGGCCTTAAAACCCTCCCTTGGAGTAGGATTCTTCTATTGAATCCGAACCAAGTAAATCACTTGTGTTTCTTTCTTCTTCCTATTTTTTTCTATCGTTGTTTTGCTTTATTCTTCTTGGTGTTTCTTGATCGTGTTGAACTCTCTCTTGGAGGATTTTTGGTTATTATCCTCAACAGATTGGTATCAGAGCCTCATGTTGGTTATTTCCTGAAGGTTAAGAGTTTGTTCTGCAGAAGAAGAAGAGATTTCAGAAATGGGTGGTACGAAGATTGATGTTGAGAAATTTGATGGGAAGATGGATTTTGTCCTTTGGAGACAAAAGATGAAGGCAATTCTTGTGCAACAGAAATGCCATTGTGCCCTTGGTGGAGAGAAGAATATGCCTCCAAGTTTGACTCAAATGGAAAAGGAAGATATGATGGAACTCGCTTATAGTACCATCATCTTGAACCTATCTGATAGCGTGATTAGAAAGGTCAGAAACGAAGACACAGCTGCTAAGGTTTGGCTTAAACTTGAATCTTTATATATGTCCCAATCAGTTCCTGGAATTGCATATATCAAGGAACAACTCTTCAGTTTTAGAATGAACTCTGCAAACTCTTTAGAAGATAATCTTGATGATTTTCAAAAATTGGTGATTGACCTTACTGATAGTGGTGAAGAACTGAGTGATAATACTCAGGCTATTCTTTTGTTAAACTCTTTACCCTATTCTTATAAAGATGTCAAAAATGCCATTACATATAGCAGAGAAAATGTATCTCTAGATGATGTTTTAGCTGCTCTTAGAATAAGAGATCTTGAGATTAAGGCTGAAAGAAAAGGGAATGGTGATGGTCTCTATGTCAACGCAAGACCCGAAAAGAAGTATAACAAAAAGGGTAAGAATAGTCACAAAAACAAGCAAGAATCTTATTCTAACAAGAAGTTGATCAGTTATTTTTGCAATAAAGAATGTCATATCAAAAGATTTTGCAAATCAAGGCTCAAGAAACTGAAAGAAAATGGAGACTCAGAGGTCATTGCTGCTGTTGCAGAAAGTGAGGTTGCTACTGCTCTAATGGTGTCCACCATTGATGATCACAAAGACTGGATATTGGATTCAGCGTGCACCTATCAGATGACACCTAGGAGAGACTGGTTCTATACGTATCAGTCCATGAATGGAGGTAAAGTGCTTATGGGAAATGACATGACATGTCAAGTTTCTCGTATTGGTTCAATTCAATTCAGGATGTGGGATGGCAGTTTAAAGACTCTTTGGGAAGTTAGATATGTTCCAGACTTGAAAAGAAATCTGGTTTCTTTGAGTTTGCTCGATGCAAAGGGGTTAACGTATACTTCTAGTGGAGGTTCTCTCAAAGTCTTCAAGGATAAAGAGATGGTGATAAAGGGGACTATGAAGCATGGTCTGTACATCTTACAAGGAACAGTCCTTACTGGGAAAGCTGTCGTGACCACTATAGAACAAGATGAGATGATTACCTGGCATAGGAGATTGGGACATATCAGCTCAAAAGGTCTTCAAGAATTGTGCAAGCAAATCTGATAAAAACAGAGAAAGTAAAAGATCTTGGCTTCTGTGAAAGCTGCACGTTTGGTAAAGCTCATAGACTCAAATTTCCTAATGCTTCTTATAAATCATGTGATGTGCTTGAATATGTTCACTCTGATTTGTGGGGTTCACCCCAAATTCCTCTGTCTTTATCCGGGAATCAATATTTCATTAGTTTCATTGATGATTTCACTAAAAAAGTCTGGATATATTTTCTGAAACATAAAAGTGAAGCCCTTAGTAAATTCATTGAATGGAAGAACTTGGTTGAAACTGAAACTGGAAAGAAAATTAAGACATTAAGGACTGATAATGGACTGGAATATTGTAATAAGGAATTTGATGACTTGTGTGTGTCTAATGGGATCAGTAGACATAAGACCTGCACCTATACTCCTCAGCAAAATGGTATTGCTGAGAGAATGAACAGGGCGATCTTGGATAAAGTGAGATGTATGTTAGTAGACTCTAGTTTGCCTAAAAGGTTTTGGGCTGAAGTAGCTAACACTGCTTGTTATCTGATTAATAGGTCTCCTAGTTCAGCTATAGGTTTCACAACCCTTGAAGGAAAATGGTCTAACAAATCCCCAAGTTACCAGCACCTAAAAATATTTGGTTGCATTGCCTTTGTTCACTCTAAACAAGAAAAATTAGATCCAAGAGCTAAAAGATGCATTTTCTTAGGATATCCTCAAGGTGTCAAAGGGTACAAAGTGTGGATAATCTCTGAAAATAAAACCATTATAAGCAGAGATGTTACTTTCAATGAATTAATATCGTATATGACTAACATGCAAGAACCAAAAGAGAATACAACAGCCCCTACTCAGATTGAGGTAGAGCTTAGTGAATTCGAGACACATCCAAGAGAAGATGACCTTGAGAATGAAGAAAGTACATCAGCAGACGTGAGTAACATTCAGCAACCAGAAGAAAAAGGTGGAGCTATAGCAGAAAGTAATGACCTTATGAACTATCAACTCGCTAGAGATCGAGTCAGAAAGGAAGTGATCAGACCTGCCAGATATGCTCAAACCATAGCTGCTCCACCTACTTTTGCTCACACAGAACTGATAGCATATGCCTTGAATGTGGCTGATGTCCTTGATATAGAAGAGCCAAGAACCTATTTTGAAAGCCTGCAAAAGCAAAGATTAGCTACACTGGAAAGCAGCCATGGATGAGGAAATGAAGTCTCTCACCAAAAATGAGACTTGGATTCTAGTTGAAAAGCCAAAGGATCAGAAAGTTATTGGCTGCAAATGGATTTTCAAGAGAAAACCAGAAATTCCAGGGGGAGAGAAAGTTAGATTTAAAGCTAGAGTTGTGGCAAAAGGTTACTCTCAAGTTGAAGGAGTTGATTATCATTATGTGTTTTCACCAGTTGTTAAGCACACATCAATTAGAATCATCCTTGACATTATTGCCATAAAAGACCTGGAACTGGAGCAACTTGACGTAAAAACTGCCTTCTTACATGGGAATTTGGAGGAGAAAATTCTCATGGCTCAACCTGAAGGTTTCATCAAGAAACGGGAAGAAAATAAAGTGTGTTTGCTGAAGAGGTCCCTTTATGGTTTGAAGCAGTCTCCCCGCCAATGGTACAAAAGGTTTGATGAATTCATGCTCAAACAAAGGTTGAAAAGAAGCTACCATGACAACTGCGTTTACTTTCAAAAGCTAAATGACAACAATTACATCTATCTCCTGCTATGTGTAGATGATATGCTCATAGCCTATCATGATAAATCTGAAATCCAAGCTTTGAAAGATAAACTCAAATCTGAGTTCGAAATGAAGGATCTAGGGAAAGCTAACAGAATCCTTGGGATTGACATCAATAGGGACAGACCAAAGAAGGTCCTAACCCTATCTCAAAAAGGCTACATCAGCAAAATAATACAGGCCTTTCGTATGGCAGAAGCAACGCCTGTTACAACTACCATTGGTGCTCATTTTAAGCTTGCTACTAGTGATGAGTTTGCTACGTCTGAAGAAGATTTGTATATGAAAGATATTCCTTATCAAAGTGCTGTGGAGAGCCTCATGTATGCAATGGTATGTACCAGAGTTGATATTGCATATGGAGTCAGCTTGGTGAGTCGGTTCATGAGCAAACCAGAGAAGGTTCACTGGGAAGCTACTAAATGGATTCTAAGGTATCTGAAGGGCACCATTGATGTTGGTTTAAAGTACACCGGGTCAGATTGCTCCAAGATTGAAGTAGAAGGATACTGTGATTCAGACTATGCAGGTGACTTAACCAAAAAAAGATCCTTAACAGGTTATGTGTTCACGATTGGAGGAAATCTGGTAAGCTAGAAGTCCTCTCTTAATCATGTGGTTGCTCTATCTACCACAGAAGCAGAGTACATAGCCATTATAGAGGCAGTGAAAGAAGCTCTCTAGTTGAAAGGAATAGTCAATGAACTGGGCCTGCAATAGGAATGTATCAATGTTCACTGCGATTCTCAAAGTGCTATTCACCTAACCAAAAACAGCATGTACCGTGAAAGGGCCAAACACATAGATGTTAAGCTGCATTTTATCAGGGACATAATTGACAAAGGATTTGTGACAATGGAAAAGATTTCTACTTTGACAAATCCTGCTGACATACTGACGAAAGGAGTTCCAACCAGCAAGGTTCACTCAGCCTTGGAATTCCTAGGAGTCCAGAAAACTTAGTAGCTTTGGAGGGCATGCAGGGTACCTATCTGGTTCACCATGTAAATAAGAGTCAAGGTGGAGATTGTTGGATAATGCCTCTTATTTGTTAAGAGAGTAAGGCAGTTATTCAGCTGCATGGTTAATGTTTGTTACGTTAGTTATTTGTTAACTAATTTGGCTAATATCACTCAGCTATGATAACCACCTACATCACATATACATTTCGTCATAAGCTCATATATAACAGGGTAGTCTGTACTTTCTGTTTTGAGAGGCGTGAGAGTTAGTTTTCATATTGTAATTCTCAAATTAGTGGTTGTATCAGACTTCATCATAGTGGACTATCTAGGGCCTTAAAACCCTGCCTTGGAGTAGGATTCTTCTGTTGAATCTGAACCAAGTAAAGCACTTGTGTTTCTTTCTTCTTCCTATTTTCTTCTATCGTTGTTTTGCTTTATTCTTCTTGGTGTTTCTTGATCGTGTTGAACTCTCTCTTGGAGGATTTTTGGTTATTATCCTCAACATATACCATGATACATATGTGAAACATCTTTTATCATGACGTTTGCCACAAAGTGAACAAACACCGTAAACGCTAGTGGCTTAGATGATGGTTTTTTTATGTGCACAACTATTTTGGGACTCCATGGGCGATTGTTTCTCTCACCTTGTTACAGACTTGGTATGCAATTCTTAGTTATCTGGGAGATAAAAGTTGTTAAATATTTTTTTCCTCCCTCCCAATAATTCGATCTTCTATGTAAGATGTGTTGTTTGTTTAAAAGTTTATTCCATGTCTTATCTTGCAAAAATGATTGAACAGTGAATATCTTGTCAACCAAACCTACTTATATTTTTTATTGATATTAATTTAACATCTCCAAAGAGTCTTTATATGATCCAAACTCTTTATTATAAAGAGTCTATTCATAAAAATAAGAGTCTAACATGTTCTTTATCTTTAAAATATAAATTAAAAAGTGAGTTTGACTCTCCACATTTAGAGAGTCAAATTTCACTCTCTATCATAATTTTAATAATTTTAATTAATAAACTACAAGTTCCTATGTATTTTATTTATTAATTCTTTCTCCCATTAAATCTCTTTCTTAAAAATAAAGAGCATCTTCATTAAATTTAAAGAATATATTACATTTAAATAAAAATTATGTTCTTTATATTTAAAAATTAATAAAGATAGTTTTTATTTATATAAAAGATGCTCTTCAAAATAAAGAGTACCTTGGAGATGTTATTATATATGCATCTGTAAATTTGTTAATTAAGTTTCAATAGAATTATGAACTTTAATATTGGATGTCTTCTTTTGAAGTTGCTTTAATATACCCAGATTTCGAAAATATTGTTTTAAGTAAATCGTTTCAGGCACTGCATAAGTAATGATTGTGCTAGGGTTAGGAACAGTTACACAGTGAGATTCTAAAGTTGCAGCTTTTCGAGTTTGCATCTCAAATTTTGTATCTTTATCATTAAATATAGAATTGTATGGAATTTATTCAGTCTCAAAAGGGGCATAATTTTTATTTCTTTTTATTGCCTTGTCCAGAAGGAAAGGATAATTTTTCATTTAATTAGTTTGCCACTTTCAGTGATTCTTTCCTTCACTTCAAAGAGTCTCATGAATGAGATGGTAGTAAAATGTGCACATTTACCCAGCCTCTAAATTTTTGTAGAGCCTCTGCAGCAGAGGCTAGCTAGGGGTTCTTGGAGATGGAGAGCTTAATTAGTAAAACCCAGAAGAGTTACGTACATACCCACAGGTCAGTATGATTTTCCCCTCTTTTAATTCTTGTTAATAATCATGAATTTAATATGTATATTAAGTTAATTTGTAGCAACTCGCACTAGATCTTCGTATATGCTCTGTAAAGTTCATATAATTTTCTTGCTTGTGTATTTAAGTTGTTTTTGATGATTGTTCAATAAAAACTTTTGTTGCAGATTGCTCTAAGCAGACAGAAGTCTGTGATTGGAAATAGCTAGAAATCAAAATAAAGGACAGATTTAATCTATAAGATGTTTTATTTGAAACTGTTATCTCGATTCATACTTTCACAACTTAAAATTACTCTATTTAGCATTTTTTAGCGGTTGAAACATTCTGCTTAGCCAATTTCTTCTATGAACTAGCTATAATTTCCCTTCTGAATACAAGGAAATTTATAGTTCTCAAATGCCGGCTTTAAGTAATTTTCAATTTAGGTGAGCCTTTTTTTATTTTTTATTTTTCTTTCTCAGAGATACAATATAAAGATCAGTATGGCAGAGAGTAAAAGGAGGATTGTAGTAGGATTGTAGTACGATTAACATCAACTCGTTGCAGTGTTCGTTTGAAAATATAATGCGTTACAACTTCTCAGTGCCACCTAATTTTTCCATCTTTAGAACCCCAACAATTCTCTGTAAGCACAATGAAGCAGCGTATGAACCCAATGCATTTTCATTAGGGCCATTTCACCATGGAAAGCAACAGAAATTCACACAAAAAGTAAAATGGGACTATTTACAAGGCCTCCTTCGTCGATCAACATGCCCGGAGGAGCTATATAGTCAGCTTGTCCAAGCCATCAGGTCAGTTGAGGCAGAGGCCCGTAATTGCTATTCAGAGTCAGTTGGATTTAGTTCGAAGAAATTTGTTGAAATTTTGCTACTTGATGGTTGCTTCATTAGTGAGTTGTTCCGCAAAGATGCCAAAAAAAGAACTTAGAGATCCAAATGACCCCTTATTCACCATTTCTTCTTTACAAGAATATTTAAACCATGACCTGATTTTGCTTGAAAACGAAATTCCTTGGGTGGTGCTTGAGACGTTTGTTTAGCTTGACCAAACTTTCTCCCGACGAATCCCTAATCCAACTTGCCCTTAAATTCTTCAATAATATATTCTCGTCCTATCCACCATCTGTTGCACCAAACCAATCCCAAGATATCGAGATCAAACATATCCTTGACTTGTTGAGGCATTTATTGCTTATACCATTATCATCGGGTAAGTTCGAAGGAGAGCCCACGGAATGGGAACCCATCCCTTGTGCTACAAAGATGAACGAGGCCGGTATCAAGTTTACGAAAGCATATGCCGATAGCATCTTGGATATAAACTTTAAAAATGGTGTTCTCGAGATTCCTCCTCTGTCTACTCAAGAGACAACCGAAACAATCCTCCGAAACCTCATCAGCTTTGAGCAATCTTATCCAAGTTATCTTCCCATAGTCACTTCTTATGTGATGTTCATGGGTAATCTCATTGACACCGAGAAAGATGTTGAGATACTTAGCGAGCACGATATTATTGATAACTGGTTGTATCCTGAGGATTTAAAGCAATTCTTCAAGAAGCTATACCATGGTGCATATGCGGGGCACTTCTTTTATCTTGACATTTGCCGTCAAGTGAAGAGACACCGTAACCGCTGGTGGCCGAGGTGGCGCTTTATGTATTTAAACACCTTCACCACCCCCTGGGCTACGGTTTCACAAGTAGTTATTCTCGAATTCTTGCAGACTTTGTATTCCATTCTGGGTGTCATGGAAGATAAAAAGAGTTAATGCTTGAGTGCTTCGTGACGACCATTAATTTGCTAGGAGTTCGATGAAGAAATTGATAATTGAATGTTTATCAGTTTATTTGTGTTTGTTTCCTGCAAGGGCCTGTCTGTTTTTGAGGAAAGTGTTTTGTGACGTATTTGGTGTGAAATTTGATCTGGATTAAAATGTTTTGCCTAATGAGCTCAGCATTAAGATGCTTTTTGATGAAGTAAATAGCTAAAAGTCATTTCCCAAATCAAAGTGAAGTATATGCAACATCTACTACGCCAACTCGCACGGTCAACAAGTCCAAAGGAGCTATACAGTCAGCCCAATAAGTTATAACTACGGTCTACGCGGACGGATAAAACAATTATGAATAGCTATAACTTATTATACATTTGGTTGATTAATATTTTTTTATCTCAACCGTGTATTCATGTGATAGTTACTATTAATGTTAAAAGATTATTTAACCACATGACATATTGAAGGAGAAAATCTTTTATATGAAAATTAAGAATGGATTAATTATTAGCTTAGCTTCTTAATGATGCTGCTGAAGTTGCCGAATCACCTAACTTTAAACAGGTCTTTCCATGTATAAATTCTAGATATATGTCCAGAAACTTGTTTAACTTTAAAATTACTTATTATAACTTTTGTTGTGGAGCCATGAAAGTAACCAAGGTGGAGCTGTTCTTTGTGCCATTGCAACAGTAAAAGCCTATAATCCTTAATAGCCAATGACAACGAAAGTTTAACCTTTGCATTATGCACAGCATGACCATATCTCTGTCAAATGCCCAGTCAAATTTTATAATTGATCGGTCTTTAGTTTTACAAGTACAAATTCTCTTTTGAATTTGGAGAGCAGAGGCTAGCTAGGGGTTCTTAAAGTTGGAGAGCTTAATCAGTATAATGTCCAATGACATCTTCCCAACCCGAAGTTTGCCCTAAAGACAATGTCCTACCCGAAAATTTTCAAAACGACTGTTTGCCACCCACCGTTAAGATCTGTTACATGACATGGTACATGAACTGTAAAGAAGAAAATGCCCTTTTTCTCTTTGAATCTCCTAGAACCCATATCTTATTTGGCCGAAATCGCTTCCAGCCAGGTAGGAGACGTGCAGAAATCGCGCACAAGTGGGGGGCAGCACGCAAGGAGCTGGTTGGGGGCAAAAAAGCAAACAGGTGGTGGGCGTTTTCAAAACCAGAAAATTTTTGGTCATCGGCGGCGGGGAAATCTTATAATCAGTCAACAGCAAACCCAAACACCAAAACGACAATCAATTATGTCTAAACAACTCCAAAATTACGCCAATCAAAATCCCAATCGAAATTATCGCACAAAAACCTTAGGTGGTACCGGCGGTGATGGGTTTTGTAGAGGGCAAGCCGGTGAAGCCTAGGGTGGTGGAAGGTTGGATTGTGGAGGTCGTAAATCGGCCTGAGATGGGCGATCGCGCGAAGCACAAAACACGCAATTACCGGCAGTGTTGAGGTTTGCTAAGAAATTTTGTTTTCAGGTCCTAGAAAATCATGATGTGCTCTGGTATCAATTGTTGGTATTTGCTGGAGAATACTAAGGAAGAAAAAGACTGTAGAGAGAAGGTTATTACTGAAGTTTTTTTTATTATCATTTCATTTACACAGCTGAGAAAGTTTTATACACAAATTGTCTACTGTTACACCTATTTTGCAAGTGGATATTTTTACAAACACAATCCTAACCATTCAAGCTTAACTAATGCAAATACATTACATTAAATGAGCCTTAATCACCGGTTACTTTCACCTAAAACTGTCACATAAACATTTCAAAAAACAGCAGCTCCACCAATTGCTTTCAGCACAGCAGTTTTTTAAACTTGGCGCCAAAAAGTTACATATTCACCCAACTAACTTTTCTTCATTTTCCAGCAAAATATCACTAACTTGAACATATAGTTTCACAAGTAGTTTGTGCAATCCTTTTGATTCTTGCTTTCTTACAGATCTTGTATTCCATTCTTGGTGTTGTTAATGCTTGAGCTTTTGGTGAATACCATTGGTCTTTTGGTTATAGCATGTAATTAAACAGGCTGGAGAGGAGGTAAATGAAAATTTCCCTATTTTCGTGTGTTCAACGGTTGAACTTCAACCCTTTGTAAAACCTTTTTTTATTTTTTTAAATGAACTATTCAACCATGAAATTTAGCATTTCAGTTTTTGGTGAAAGTATAGCATAGTCTTGTTAAATTATTTTATGAAATCCCATATAATATTAAACGAAGCCATTTCAGAGCTGACAGTTTGTGAGTTTTATGTATAAACAATTGCTTTCAAGTTAAATATAACAATACCAGAAATGGTGATTGATTTGTTAAAATTACACGATGCTGAACCAAAATTATAAAGTCGGCTTCGAGAAAAGTAACTTGATCGACAAATCACTGCAATTGTATGACAGAAAGGAGATAGTGATCAATTTAGGCGGGGTCGAGCATAGCACATGGTCTGCTATCGATATTGCCTAAATGAAACTTGTTACAATATTACATTTGATCCATCAAAAAAATTCTTTCTTTGATAGGATGATGAGCCGAAGCCCCAATAGGCAATAAACAATTACTATTAGCTATACTTTATTATACATTTTGTTAATTTAAGATGATTTGGTTTGATTACGTAAAATTACATATATCAATTGACATAATCTACCTTTCGGGACGCTTGTGGATCCATAAAGTAACCCAACTGGAGCTGTTGTTTGTACCATATTCCAAAAGTAAAAGCTTATAATCCTAATGCTAACCAATTACAACAAAAGCGAATTCTTCACATTATGCCCAGCAGGGCCATATCTCTCTGTCAAATGCCACTCAAATTGGATAATTAATCAGTTTTTAGTGTTACAAGTTAAGTACAAATTCTGGTTTGAATTTGCTTTTTTCTTTTCTTTTTTATACTTTAGAATTAAAGGGTCCAAATATGTATCTCATGTAACACAATTCAACAACTTTATGGAGAAAATTAGTTGATAGTACACCTCAAGTTTGACGACATAATGTCGCATCGCATCCCACATGTTTAAAACAAAGTAACACTTACGCTTTCAAGTCAAAAAAGAGAAGCAAGAAAGAGCAGCAACACAGAAGATACAATACAATGCAAAGTCCAAAAATCACCTAAATCTTGGGAAACACTGAATATTAAGTTTAATCTTTGAACTAAGATTTGGTTTAGATTTAGACGACAGATTTTAGTACATAGCCCGTCGACTTTAGTGGGGTATTATATTTACCTTTTCCGAACCTGTGGGTTGTCATTGTTAATTAACTAAACCTTTCGGTTTCTTATGAGCAATGCTGCCCAAATTACCCTCCAATAGTCACTTCTTATGCCAAACTCATGGATAACCTCAAGAAAGACGTGGAGTGTGGGGTCCCCTCTCGGGAGCACTCTGGTCCCGTCAACTGGGAGCCCACTCACTGGGATATCCTCACCCCTGCAAGTGTGTTTCTTTCGCCTTTCTCACCTCTCGAACACAAGACCTGCAGGCTCAGTATATTGTGACTTGAGAGGTGAGTACCATTGGGCTAAATCTAGAGATGGCGAGGACTACGTCCAGTCAAACACAAGCAAGCTGCGACACCACGGAAAGACCGATGAAGAGGGTCATGTTCGGGGTATGGCAATGTTAATGGGTGGGAAGAGACATGTGGGGTATGCAAATTTTTGTCTAACCATGATCGGCATTGAGCACGAGACTTCGACGATGAGGCAACACTTGGAGAAGAAGCACCCCCAAAGTAATTCAGCAAGGTTCAATTTCAACCGGAACTGGTAATCGAATACAAACTCAACTTAATTTTAATCAAAAAACCTCAACTCTCTCAAACTGGCATTTTAATTCACAGACAGCACGAGAGAGAAGTAGTAAAATACATAGTTGCTAAGACTCTTCCCTTTCTTTATCTCGGAATGTTTTTTTTGTTGATATGATAAAAGACTTTTTGTCCACAATATAGGCCTTTTAGTAATGAATAATTAGAAGGGACATAGAAAAAATTTATACTAAAAATAAGTGATAAACTTAAAAAAGAATTTGAAATTTTTAAATATTTCTATTACACTTACTTTTGACATTGTGCTCTCAATCAAAAACAGATTTTTTGTGTGTCACAATACATTAACTAATCTAATTGGCGTTTGCAACAAAAATTGATAGGTTTTAAACCATTATGCTAAACATAGTGCTAACACTATTTATTTTACAACTATTGAAGTTTTGCAAGATTATTATTAATTGAAAAGTTGTGGTGTTAACGCTTGATAACGCAATTGCTAACACCGCAACAATTTCTTTATTTAAAAGAAATTGGATTTGCTTGGTGAACAATTTTTTTCATCAAAGATGTGCTTGCCACATCATCAATTTATTGTTAAAGTAGTTTTAGAAGCTATACAGGCGAGGAGATAAGGCGCACACGACAATCAAATCATTGTTGGTAGCAATACAAATGAAGATTATGTCAAATATGTCGCCAAGGAGCCATCGGTTCAACCGAAGTTGCAAAAAGCTATTCCAACCGCAAGATAAATTACAGATTTCATCAACAAGAACTATCCGGATGAAGTTGTCAACGATGATGATTCGACGGTTTTTAGTATTTTTATTCATTTCTTAAAGTTTTTTACAATTCCACTAATATTTATTATCTTACTACATTTAGCGTTAGATATTTTACTTTAAATTTGTAAAACTTTTGTTAGACATAATATAATGAAGAATTAAGCGACATTTGTTCACAAATGGAAACAAATACCAGAAATATTGTTATTATATTCCATTCTTATTGTAGATCTTAGGTTTAGATTAACGTATTTACTTGTATAGTTAATGAGATAGGCCAACATACTATATGTTCTTATTTGATAGAATTTAAAAGAAAATTGGAAAGTCTTTTTTCTTTGTATCAAATAGGTTAGTGGAACGCCATCAGAGACGATAGCAGGAAGCTGATGAAGACATT